CAGCTGGATCCAGGTGCGGGCACACGGTGGCTGTGCAGTCCACAACATGCAGGGCGCCCAGGGTGCGACCACGGCGAGAGCTGCAGCTCGGCTCCTGGGCCGCGCCGGTGACACAGCAAGACAGGAGGTAAGCAGGACCATCCACGTGCCAGCACAGCGTTCACACCCCACCAGGCCCCACACAGGCTCTCCTGGTTCTGGGAGCGCCCCGTCCAATCCTGGGCTCATTGGCTACACTAACTGTTCTCCCTCTCCAACCACAGTCCGCCCCTCGCAAGAGAGAACAGGAGCGGACAAAACCAAGCGGAGAGAAAGGGAACCGCGCCCAACTGTGTACCCGTGACCCCGAGAGCCAAGCTTCCTGTCTCCAAGAGTAATGCAGTTTACAACCATGGCAGCTGGGAAACCGCTGAGGTGGAAATGTTTGAATATCAAAGAATTTCCACCACAATATTTATACGTCTCCCGGGAGGTCAAGGAGGTCGAGCACAGAGCTCTGGCAGCCTCAGCGTGCAGGCACCACGCAGCCACAGAAACCCCGAGACCAGATTTAACTTTCTGGAGGCCCACAGGACCAGGCTGAGGACACCAGCGAACGAACCACCTGCTCCTTTGGGCTCAGCTGTGCAAGCCCTGGCCCTCTCCCTGGCCAGCCCCTCCTTCTACAGGAGCCGGGACCACAGACTAAGGGCTCTCCTGGTCTCAGACTCCCAGACCCTGGAGGTGGAGCCCTCTGACACCTGAAGTCAGGCGAGGGGAGAGCGCCCAAGCCCCAGAGCTGCGGACACTCCAGGTAACAGGAAAACCACCTGTGCAAACAGGGCCCGGAGCCGGGACGACCGGTGCCCTCGCAAGGGCCACGCTGCACTCCGACCCGAGGTTCGCCAGAGGAGCGGGCAGGACAGTGCCAGGGACGCTGCGTGAGCACTTGGTCAGTTACCACCTGAATACTGCCACAAAAGAAGGGGCCAGATTAAACAGTTATTCTGGGGAACAACTGTCTTTAGGATCTCTGTCTTTAGGGGGCAGACGGAAACACTGCTCCACTCCTGTCCCTGGTCTGGCGCCACAAGACCGCCATCCATGCTCTGCTGTGGGCTCCGGCCTCAGAAGCCAGACCCGGGTGAGCCTCACCTTCAAGAATCAAGATGAGCCCACAGGCAGCGCCCCCCAGGACGATCAGACGCCCGTGGCAAGCCCTGCCCGGTACGGTCTGCGCCCTGTAGGGTCCGGCAGGGCACCTGACCGAAGGTCTGCAGGAGCAGGCCCGTTGCACAGGCGAACCCAAGTCCCCGCCTGCCACCCATGCTCCTCTCTTGGGACCCCAAACACCAAGCGAATCGGGAAGCGGAGGCCACACTGGCCTACAGTGCACATTCAGAGGCCGGTGGTCAGGCAGCACGCTGCGTTCTAAGGACAATAGCTAGAGGGCGAACACTCCAATGCCAATTTATTTTTTTAAAAGGTTCTGTGTAATTCTATGGTTGGTTTCCTTTTTCTGTTTTTTTTTTTTGGTACATTTTTCCAACCTTTGAAAATCACATAAGTTGTAATGAGCTAATACTATTAATAGTCATTCAAAAAAACTTTCCCTCCCTCCCAACAACCGTCCAGGGGGAATTACAAATCCTGAAGAGGCCAATTCAACAGGGCCTCGACCGTAGGAGAAACAAAAAGAAAGATGAAACAGAACAGAAGTGGACTGAGGTGTGTGCCAGGGTCTCTCAGGAGTAGGCCTGGCTGCTGCCTGGGGTCGTGAGAGGCAGAGCCCGCAGCATGCAGAACAGCAGCCGGGCGAGCTCCAGCCACCTCTTCCTCCCTCGCGCTCGCCAAGGGCAGCCTAGGTGTCGTGGAAATCCTTCAACAGGGTGCGCCTCCGCTGCTCTGCTATGTGCATCTGGTTTTCTAAGTCCTGCACCAGGGAAGCAAAATCTGTGCTTGCACGGCCCAGCCCGTGAGAGCCACAGCCACGGCCACGGCCACCCTGACGGGCTCCAGGAGTCAAAAGCACAGCCCTCCCCGCCCTTCTCAGCAGCAGCTCCCAGCCCACAAGCAACCCTGTCCCCTCCCTGCAATGGCAGGTCCAAGGAGACAGCAGCACCTACCCCCCTGTCATAGCTGTCCGCGCGCTCCACTTTCCAGGACAGGTTTTCGATCTCAGCCTCCAGTTGAGCCTGCTGGTATTCAAACTGTATGGGCAGAGCAGGAGGGTCAGAAGGAGAGGGGCAGGGCCTGCAGACAGGGCAGACGCAGCACCTCAGGCTCGCACGAGCAGCAGACAACCCTGAAGCTGTCCTCAAGAGGGCAGTGCTAGTCCCTGTCCCCGGAGCCAGAACCCAATGAAAAGGCTACCTAGCCCTGGCCGGCGTGGCTCAGTGGATAGAGTGCTGGCCTGCAGACTGAAGAGTCCCAGATTCGATTCCATTCAAGGGCACAGGCCTGGGTTGTGGGCTTGATCCCCAGTGGGGGGTGTGCATGACCAACCAATGATTCTCATCACTGATGTTTCTCTCTCTCCCGCTCCCTTCCTCTCCAAAATCAATAAAAATATATTTTAAAAAAAGGGCTACCTAAGTACAGACAAATGGCAAGAGCACAGTCCTCCCACCCCAAAAAACAGGCAAGAATTTAAGCCACCGCAGATAATGCTCCCAGCATATAGGGAAACAAATGCTTTAGAAATCGATGAATGGATATTCACAGACACTGTATTCCCCGAATACTCTGTTTTCCTTCAGCCCTTCTGCAAATCAACTCTTAAAATAAATAGTTGAACCAGTTGCCTTAGTAATTGTACATCCAAGCTTTCTGCACAAAGATGTTCCTCAACGTCTTATTTATAATAGTGAAAAACAAACAATGCCCCAAATGATGGAATACCCATATAATGGAAACATTTATGCAACTTTAAAAAAATGGTATTAACCAGAACTGGCTGGTGTGGTTCAGTGGTTGAGCATTGATCTATGAACCAGGAGGTCACGATTTGATTCTCAGGGCACATGCCCGGGTTGTGGGCTTGCCCAGTGTGGTTAAAAAAATGGTATTAACCAGAACTGGCTGGTGTGGTTCAGTGGTTGAGCATTGATCTATGAACCAGGAGGTCACGATTTGATTCTCAGGGCACATGCCCGGGTTGTGGGCTTGATCCCCAGTGTGGGGCATGTGGGAGGCAGCCGATCCATGATTCTCTCTCATCATTGATGTTTCTATCTCTCTCTCCCCTCCTCTCTGAAATCAATAAAAATACCTTTTTTTAAAAAAAATGGTATTAACCAGCCTGGTAAATAATGACAGCTGCAACAATGAACTGCTGTAACAGTAAAATGCTCTATAAATAACATTAATTTCAAAAGGGAGAAAACACTGACATGTGGTCATGTCTTTCTGGTGGGACTACAGGTGCTATAAACGTCCTGCTTTTTAGCGTCTGGACAACAGGTGTGAATTCCTTTACAATGACTTGGGGAGCGGGAAGTTCACGGCTAAGAGAAAGGGTGAGACGAAGACCGATCTCCTCCCACAGCACGGGCACTGGCCTCTCAAGTGGCACAGACCCTCCGGCAGCTCCCTGGGCACGGCTGGCGCTCAGGGGCCATGACACAGAATGCCAGCTAGTGAGGAGATGGGGCTTACTCTGGAGATGCCTAGAAGAGAAATACCATTGGAAGATGGACTTTGTTTTAATGTGGGCCTCCCAATGCCCAGGGCACCTCTGGCGCTAGGAGGGCGGAGTGGAGAGGGGCCGCTTCGCCTTACCAGCTTCTTCCTGGGTCCAGACTCCATGTAGTACGCATACGGGTACGTGTACTGCAGGGTGTAGCGACACTGCAATGGGGAGAAGAGAGGGACCTGTGTCTCTGGTGCTAGCCCACATGCACCTCAGCGGCTCTTACAATTCTCTCCCCACCATGCACATTAGCCTGGCTCCACAGGTATGGGCCTGAAAGAAATGCGACCAAGCCAAATAAAGGATGAAGTGGGGACAACATGGAAAAAAGGAAACAAAAGTGGCCACAGAACACCCACAGTTCCTTTTCCAAACTGGGATTTATTTACCAGCAGCTGCCTCAATGGCTCTTCCCTCTTGAGTCGGACCTCAGAGTCCACACATCTATCTCAATAACTGTCCAAAGACAAGCTCTTATTTTCCTCTGAGTGACGCATGGATGGGACAAAAGAAGAAAAGGGCTCTAGTCTCCCCGCAGCTCCTTCCTGCAGGCAGAGCAGTGCTCCTCTTCTGGGATCCCCGGGACGTCCAGCAGAGACTGGGCCTCGGTGGGCACAGCACGGACGGCTCCCGTGAGCAGGAGTGTGCGGGCTGCACAGGGTGCTGACGCCCCAGCCCCCTCAGTGTCTCCCACCAGGAGGTCTGGGTCTAACAGGGGATCAGAAGAGGGAGGTGGCACAGACCTTGGCCAAGAGCTTGGCAGCGTTCTGCAGGTACTGCCAGTCGATCCATGTCCCCAGGTTGTTCATGACCCGCTCCTGGATCTTCTCGTGGATCCGCTGGTACGTCTGTGCCTCCAGCTGCAGGCTCTTGTTGTGGTTTTCCCACTGCGGGAGGAGGAGGAGGGAGCTGCAGGGGCCCGGGGACGGCAGAGCCCACACAGGAGTTCAGAATCGACACCCGGGCTGCAAGGGCCCAGCCACAGCCTCATCTCGCTCACGGGGACTGGGACCTTGAGGGCGACTGAGGGGGAGTGTCGAGAGCAACGGTCCCCCTGCCAGACCACTGTCCCCCTTTGGGGCAGTAGGGCTCCAGCCCTGAGGACCAGCAGGCACTCACTGGTCCACTGTGCTCGGCAACCAAACATGCCACGCTCTGTGGGCTGCCGAAGGGCCTCCCCGGGAGGAACTGCCCCCGCAATCTGACCACTCAGATGGCTCTGATGGCCCTACTGTCCTTCAGTCCAGCACCCACACAAGTCAGCACCACCTCCGTCCTTGTCGGCCACGGCCGCCCTGTGGAGCCCAAGAGCCACATCTATGGAGGCATCACGCAGGGCCACGCAGGAGCCCACCCGACCTCTGTGTGCACGCGGCTCTGGGCCCAGTCCCTGGGAGGCCCCCCAGCAGGCCAGCCGCAGAGCCCGCTCCGGGAGAGCTGAGGAGAGCCTACCCTCTCGAAGTAGAACAGGTACTTCTTGAGGGCCTCCCTGGCCTGTGCCTGCTGGCTCTGGTTGACGATGTCGGGGTTTTCCTTGTACCGGCTGCACTCGTAGTACTCGCTGCCGTGGGTCTTCCAATCCCCTAGGCACATCCAGCAGAAGTCTGCACAGAAGAGAGAGGCATCACACCCCCAGGCAAGCCCCAGGCCTCCAAAGGCAAAGCAGTGGGGACAGACAGATTGTGCTTTGTCACCTGATCAGAACTTCCCAAGGCTGCCTCCTTCCCGGAGGAATGTGGGCCTGTCTCCCCGAATCCCACTGTCCCCGTAGCCTGCCCTTGCCGATCTAAACAACAGTTCCTGCGCGTATATGCTTTGTGCCTTTTTAACCCGATGCAGGCAGGCGCTGACTGTACAAGATCACTGGTCTGATAAAGCACAGTACAGAGAACACAGTCAAGAATATCACCTATGTATGGGGCCAGGCAGGAGCAACACTATCACGGTCAAGTACGTAACTGTCTAACCACCATGCGGCACACTCGGGACGAACGTAAACTAATTGGAAAGTAAGGTTCTTAAAGCATAAAACACTGCCGGTCTGCTGTGTCCGCTCCACTGTGACAAACAAACTGGCAGGAACTTGTCCCACTGAGGCTCATTCACAGCGCACACAGCTGCCCACCTCCCACTCTTACATCTGTCCTAGGAAGACTCTGTCCCTGAAGCTGGGAATAAGGGCTTTTCCCTTTCTTCTTCTTCTTCTTTTTTTTTTTTTAAATATATTTTATTGATTTTGTACAGAGAGGAAGGGAGAGGGATAGAGAGGTAGAAACATCGATGAGAGAGAAACATCGATTCAGCTGCCTCTTGCACACTCCCTACTGGGGATGTGCCCACAACCAAGGTACATGCCCTTGACCGGAATCGAACCTGGGACCTTCAGTCCGCAGGCGGATGCTCTATCCACTGAGCCAAACCGGTCAGGGCACCCTTTCTTTTTTTTTTTTTAAATATATTTTATTGATTTTGTACAGAGAGGAAGGGAGAGGGATAGAGAGGTAGAAACATCGATGAGAGAGAAACATCGATTCAGCTGCCTCTTGCACACTCCCTACTGGGGATGTGCCCACAACCAAGGTACATGCCCTTGACCGGAATCGAACCTGGGACCTTCAGTCCGCAGGCGGATGCTCTATCCACTGAGCCAAACCGGTCAGGGCACCCTTTCTTTTTTTTTTTTTAAATATATTTTATTGATTTTGTACAGAGAGGAAGGGAGAGGGATAGAGAGGTAGAAACATCGATGAGAGAGAAACATCGATTCAGCTGCCTCTTGCACACTCCCTACTGGGGATGTGCCCACAACCAAGGTACATGCCCTTGACCGGAATCGAACCTGGGACCTTCAGTCCGCAGGCGGATGCTCTATCCACTGAGCCAAACCGGTCAGGGCACCCTTTCTTCTTTTTTAAAAAGCACATTTCTATAAAACCTACAGCTACTCAGCAGTACATGCTCAGAATTATGGCTCTGCTTCCGCAGGGAAAGCAAAGAGCGAAAACTAAACATCCCTTATGGACGCCGTACATCCCGACGACGACTGTGGTCCAGGAAAGAGGCCCACAGCGGGCGCTAGGGGCCCAGGACAGAGACCTGACAGCGGGGAGCCCTGTTTCCCAGGATCACTCCCAGGAGGTGGCTGGCTTCCCAAAAGGCGCTCCTGTAAAATTTAGGAAAGCTGAAGTCAAACCCGGAGACCAGAGGCCATCCACTCTCTTCCCTTGGTCGCCTTCATCGGACAGAGGCAGTATTGCTCTCCTCCACCAGCTGCGTTGTGCTTGCTGCTGTTTTAAATCCTGTCTGCCCTGCAGTCCCTGTTCCCTTCTCACCCTGTGCCACGTCCACTCTGATTACAGGGAGCTCCTGGGAAAACACAGGACGCGCACGCGACGGGCCCTCAGAAGAGGAACCGCAGCAGGTCCGCACCGTGTGGAGACCTACGTGCACACAGGTCCTCCTTGATCTGGCGGGAAGGAAAGCAAAACCAACAGGTCCTACCTAAGCTCCTCCTGAGAGAGGGGGAGGCCTGAAAGGCCAAGTCAAACCCCCGCTGGGGACGTTATGAACCTCACGGGACATCGATGATCTCACCACCTCCAGGAGCACCATCCGTCAGGCAGCACAGATAAGCCCGTGCTACTTACCTGCCTTGGCAAAAACAAAAAGAACACGTAACATCTTCTTCTTGGGAGCCTGAGGGTTCACGAGGGTCTAAGAGTCACCCCCAACTTGACTTCTGACTACATGTGGCGGCGGGATGGCAGTGGGATTACAGAGGGTCCAGAAGGTAGTGCATAAATATGATGATGTAAGTGATGCAGGCTGCCCTGTGTCCTGTCACAACACTACACAAGTGCGCCCGACACAAGCAATGGAGACCGTGCACAGGGAACAGCCTGTGCCCTGGGCCTGAACGCCAAGCCCGGGACTCACCGTGTTTACACTTGGAGCATTGCTGTCGGAGGGAAACAGAAGAGAGCGTGTTAAAGGCCCGCTGACCAAGGCTCTGTGTCACATAGGCAAAGGGCAGGGCTTCCGCTCACCATGTGATTGCAGCCTCCGTTCTTCTCGATGCAGATGTTGCACTTGGGACACTGAGGAGACAGAAGGGCGCCGTTAGGCTCACGCACCACCAGGCTGGGGCTAAGACAATTACACAGAGCTCCTGGCACCTGTGCCCAGTGACTCATGGTGCGAGCACTGCTGGGAGGAGCATCTCACTTAAATGTGCCGGGTCGCTGAGGCTGGAACAGCAATCCAAGGAAATGAGGTCAGCAAGTTTGACTCTGAAACACTCCAAGCACCAGCTGAGCCCCACTACGCCTGCCGCCACCCGTCCCTGCCAGGGGCCGCTCGCGTGCAGAGCAGCGGAGTCAGCGGAAAGCCTGCGCCGGCGAGGAGTGCGCTAGAGCGGGGCCGAGTCCTGGCAGCTTGCCCGGACTCCTGCTTCTGAAGAGGGTGAGGAAGCAGACTCTGAAGCAGCTCGCTCGCATCTGAGCGGCGCCAGCAGCCCCCGGACACGCTACGGAGACCGGCGGGCGCTGTGCCACGCAGCAGTCTGTCTCACCATGTCCTGGCCACAGCCGTGTCTGTGAGCGCGTGAACCTCGCGCCTGGGGTGCCGGGGCACCCGGGCTCCAGGGGCTGTGGCCATCTTTCCCCTGGGAAGGTGCAGAACAAGCACGCAGGCCTGGGCTTGCAGTGAGTCCTGCTGTGGATGAGGTGTGGCTGTCACACTCCTCCCTCCCGGGGATCTGAAAGCCGGGAGGCCTTCAACAAAGACCTCGTTTTTCCCTAATTAGTTCCGTAACTTCCCCAGGCATTTTAGCTTTGGACTCAAATAAACGCACCCACCAATGTACACTATGATAAACCGCTGCCACCGCTGCCAAGTCTGCACAAGGCCAGGCAGCACCGAGGAGGGCAGAGCCACGACAGGGAAGACACGCTCCTTACGTCTTTCGTGTGAGCACTAATGTAGTTGGCCGTCTCAGAGTCGTCTGCACACTTGGTGAGCCATTTCCGGATCGTGGCGCAGTCTGTGGGGGCGTGATACATCTGGCGACACTTGAAACTTAAAACCAGAAAAGAAAAACACTCAAATAATCGTTAGGTCAGGTTTTTAATTTTCCTTCTGTCCAAGCCAACAGATCCTGCTGAACAGCTTTTCAGAGGGAAAGTCACCTATCAAGGCCTTTCAGACCTTTACCTGCTTGAGGTTATACTGAAATATTGTGTCCACTTCTCTCCAGTCTCAGTCCTTCCAAGATATACTCTCAATAAACCCAAATGACAGTTTCTGTTCTCAGTATCTTGTGTGGTGTCCACCCTTCCTACAAGGATGTCGAGTACAGAATTCGCCTCTCAGCAGGCACGGTGAGGTGCTCTGAGGACGACACCTCAGCTCAGACACCAAGCTGGGCGAGACCCACTTCTGGGAGCTTTGGCTCACCTTCCAGCCACATGTGCACACAGGAGGCACAATGCCCGAGCTGTACAGGCTGCAGCGGCGCGATACCCCGACAGTGCAGGCAGCTCAGCCAGAGCACACGTTCCCCAGGCCGGGCCCCAGCCACCACAGCGTGAGGGACAGGACAGGCCGCAGGCGACGGCCCCACACGTGCCCCAGGAGAGTTCCCGTGCAGGACACGGAGGCGAGAGCAGCCACCTCAGGGGCTCTTACCACTGGCGAGCCACAGGCTCCCTCCACGACGTCTTAGAGGCAGGCCCACGTGCACACGCCACATTTCCCATGTAGTGTCCCTGAAGCCCCGCCCTCCGTGAGGCTCCCAGGGAGGTGGGATTAGGGGCACAGACCTGGACCTAAGTGATGACTCTTGCCAATACCCTGCACCTCAACTTCCTCACCCAACAAGGACGACAGCAGTGCTACCCACACACTGCAGGGAGCATGAAGGCACGTGGTCAGGACAGTGCCTAAACCTTCAGGACATTTCGAGATTCCCATCATATTTACTGAATGGAGTAAACCCCAAGGAGATGTAAACCACGTTTATGAATTACAGAGAAAGATGAAAATGAATTACAGAGAAAGTTGAATATGTAAATAGTAATATGTAAATTATCTGTGCAGGTAGATAAAATCTCTGGGTCACAAGTCTTAGTAGCATAAACCACAGCACATTCTCCAAGAATCTGTGCCACCCTTTTGTCTGCAGACTGAGCGTTAGCCAACATAACATGGAACACGAGGTGCCCTCCCAGAGCGGAGCTGCTCTCCTGGTTCAAAGGCCCCGTCTCGCCCAGCTCCCCTCCCCGCCCCCCGCCGCAGAGTGGTGCTCTGAAGAGGCAGCAGGAGCCCAGGCTGCTCAGCACCCACACCCACTCTTACCAGAAGACCTCGCTGCACCGACTGCACTGGACACGGCGAGCTCTGGGCTCTTGTACCTGGATGACCATGGGGCAGTCTGCACCGGGGCACAGCTGGAGCTGGTAATGACTCTGTGTGCACATCAAGGAGAAACATGAGGCCACCCCCAGTCGCTGCCTCCAAATTAGAACCCCCCCCCCCCGCCCCTGCCCGCCCCAGCACTCTAACACCTTCTGTTCTTCCAGCTGATGACTTACATGCAGGGGTATAGGAATTCACGGTGAATGTCGTGAAGGCCAGACATTAGGCAGATACTGAAGACCTCTGAATGTTTAGTTAAACTAGGTAGCAACTCACTACAATAGTCTAAAATTAGATTACAAAATGGAACACATAATTGTATCCTTGAGATGAAAATGCGAAGGGACCAGGGCTGGAAGGAACACAGCCTGATCCACTGTGCCTGGTTCTGAGAAGCTCAGCAGCCCTCAGGCATTGACTGAAGGCAGCAAACAGCACACGGAGCCAGGCCTTCTGTGTATCCTGCAGCTTGTGCATGAGAAGACCAGACTGTCAATCAACCAATAAGCTTAGGCATAAAAAAAATGAAACTATGTCACACGAAACCAGCGAGCATGAACTGGCAGCCCATAGAGGGCAAGGACTCTAAGACTGGCCATGCTGGAGTCATGGACAAGTTTTCCAACTGCACAAGAAGCAATTCCCCTTCTCTGGGCTGGATCACCCAGTGCCCCAAAAGGAACAGCAACTCCTGAGATATGCCTGACTAGTGCCGACACCGGGGCATGCCATGGCTTGTTGAAGCAAAGTGTGTAAGGTGACCGCTGTATAAGAGAAACCACGCTGAGAGAGGCACAACGATGGGGAGAAGGTGACACAGCGAGGCCGTAACAGACCTGGGATTCACACAACTGCCTGACTCCAGGGTCTACCATTCTAGTGGTTTCCTGACATTTTTAAAGCCATGGAACTCTTTCTTCAAATGCCAGCACCTAATGGCAGCCTTGTCTATAAAGCAACCCTAGTGAGCACCTGGTGGGAAATAGGCCCAGGAAAGCAGAGGGCACATCCACAGGGGCAGGTCATACCTCCACATAGTCCCTGAAGAGGTAGCGCCTGTATTTGTCTCTTAGTTCTTCGTTGGGCAATAATGGAAATACAAAGTCCTCTGGTGTTCGAAGTGGGCAGTCCTGAGCCATGCAAGAGACTCCTGTTGAACAAAGACCAGCTGATTGACAACTATTGTAGGAATCACCACTTGTCTATATATATAAAACCCTAATATGCAAATAGACTGAACGTAGGAACAACTAAACCACCAGTCGCTATGACGTGCGCTGACCACCTGGGGCACATGTGGAACATGGTGGGTGTCGGCCGCGGCGGGATGGTGGAGCAGGTGAGCGGGGGCGCCAGACCAAGGTGGGGCACCAGTCGCTGTCATTGGGGCGAGCCTCTGGTGGTTACTGAAAATTCTTTGCTCCTGTGTGCCGCGCTCCCGCCTGGCGCTGGCCCTGATAGCTCGGCACTGTCAGCGGGGGCGCCGGTCGCTGTCATTGGGGCGAGCCTCTGGTGGTTACTGAAAATTCTTTGATCCCACGTGCTACAGTCCTGCCCAACGCTCGCACCTGCTGCCGGTGCCGGAGCCGCCACTTGCACCCACTGCTGGTGCTGGCCCCGCTTATACCCCCAGCCGGCGCCGGTCGTGATCGTTCAGTGCTGTCAGCGGGTGCGAGCAGCGGCTGCTGGCCCTGATCACCCCTGAGGGCTTCTCCACCTCCCCCTGCCCCTGAGAGGCGATGGGGGCAGCAGCTGTTGCTAGCACCTGCTGACAGTGCTGTCCCCAATTGCTCCATGCCATCAGTGGGTGCGAGCGGGGTTGGCACTGTCAGCGCATGGGAGCGGGGCTGCCAGTAGACAGGGGACCGGGGGCCACGGCGGGTGGGCCGAGACCCGCCCCTGTGCCCACTGCAGCCTCTCGGCCCACAGTTCCTTTCAAGGTGCACGAATCTGTGCACTGGGCCCCTAATAATAATATATTTGCCCACTGAGTTCAACCACAAATTCAGTTCCACATAGGAAACCCTTGAAGCAACAGAACATACTCAAAGAAAGAAACTGATATATTTGCACAGTGATGTAACTAAAATATTATTCCAAATTACATATACATCACAAATGGCACGATTACAATTTTCGTTTAAAAAACCCTATATGGTTCCTAACAACTGAGTTTTGTAATGTTTAATATTATGTACAAGTGCTTATCACCAACACGAGGCTTTGCAGACACAATTAATGGGATGCCAATTTTGTTTCAATATCATCAGGTTATAGTATAACAAATACTCCTGTCACCAACCACCCATGCACGCTGTGCTGTTACCTAAATAGCAGCGAGCCCTCTGGATGCCTGAGCTGTGGCTGCCACTGGGGAATCAAGAGGGCAGCGGGCCGCTTAAGGGACAGTGCTCCCAGAAGCGCTCCCAAGAGGGCGGCTGGCCGCTTAAGGGACAGTGCTTCCAGAAGCGCTCCCAAGAGGGCGGCTGGCCGCTTAAGGGACAGTGCTCCCAGAAGCGCTCCCAAGAGGGCGGCTGGCAGCTTAAGGGAGAGCGCTTCCAGAAGCGCTCCCGAGAGGGCGGCTGGCCGCTTAAGGGACAGTGCTCCCAGAAGCGCTCCCAAGAGGCGGCCGTGCACTCACACCGACGTTGAACATGACCAAACAACAGCCTTACTTGTCCCATGTTGCTCAGGACGGGAACACTATGCCACTGTTCAGACGGATGTGTCTGGAAAGCAATGGTTCTGACAGTAACGTCAGTCATCAGTCAGGCTTAAAAGAAGATACACAGTCGCCTGACCGGCGTGGCTCAGTGGTTGAGGCACGAACCAGGAGGTCACAGTTCGATTCCCAGTCAGAGCACATGCCTGGGTTGCAGGCTCAATCCCCAGTAGGGGGCGTGCAGGAGGCAGCTGATGGATGATTCTCTCTCATCACTGATGTTTCTCTCTCTCTCTCCCTCTCCCTTCCTCTCTGAAATCAATAAAAACATTCTGTTTTAAAAAAAGATACACAGTTGACCTGAGTACCTGAAAGGGCCGAGTCAGAGATAAACAGTTGAGGCCAGTCTTGTAGAAGCTCTAGAGCAGACTCACCCACACCCACGCCGTCTCTGACAAGCACCGAGCAGTGCTGCTCCCAGCAGCTGCGGCAAAACTGGTGCTGACAGGCCAGAGAGAGGAGGTGCTCCTTCCGCACGAACTGCATGCACACCGCGCAGTGGTGAGGGGGGTGGGCTGCGGGGACCTGGAGAGAGGCAAAGGCGTGTGAGTCCAAGAGGAACCTGCCTTCAGTTCCCGGGGCCACAGGGTGCTGTGTCGCTAGGTGAGGGGAGGCAATCCTGACCCTGCAGCACGGGTCAGAGCTCAGCTGCAATGTGTGGGCTCTGGGAGTCCAAGAGCTCGGAGCAGCAAGCACCCCAGGAAGGCTTCCTGAGGGAGGCAGCACATGAGCTGGGCTTGGAGCACCACTAGGACTCAGTGAAGCAGAGACGGTCAGAATGACCGCTGGCAGCAGTCTAATGACGCCAGGCTGAAAAGCTCAGGGTTTCAGAGCTGTCAAGGCCCTCAGAGGTCATTCAATCCACCTCTTTTAACGGCTACGGGGTTTCTTTTGTGAAGTGCCCCGTTCAGCAGAGCCCAGCGCTGCCCCTCAGCGAGTGCTACAAGCCCAGTCACCAAGGCTCTGAGGTTGCGTACAGCTCCTCATGGCCGCGCTGCAGCTCTGCTTATCAGACGGTCGGCTTGTTTCCTAGGTCGGCATGCCCCAAATACAAACGTTATTGCTTCTTCCAAGTTACAACTCATCCGTCACACAGGGAAGAGATGTCACATGCAATTAATTTACAAGGATGAAGAAGACTCCTACTTGGCAAGAAACTCTTCTAGGAGGTGGGCAAACAGCTCTAAAGCTGGGTTCCAGGATCGATGCATGCGACACAAACTGGCAGACACAGACAATCTGGGGTCCCGTGGCCAAAACTACAACCCACGGAAAAGCCACTACGAGCTTATCTTAGGTTCCTGTTAGTTCCCTGGAAATACAAAGCACGATTTGAGAAAAAGGACTGTGTTCCCATGCTGATCCAGTCTGTGCCTGGCCGTTTTCTAAGTAAGAGGCTGCAGAAGTTATGTGGTGATCTGAGCTCCAACTCTCTCTCCTAAGGGCTCTTTCAACACGGCCCTCATTCATTTGACACGTTTGCTGAACTTGTAGACTCACAGGAAATGGCTAGGTACTGCAGGATGTAGGATACGGTTTCTATCCTCAGAGCACTTACAGTGAGGTAGGGGGAAAGATGACTGAATCACTACCACATACACGTGAAGGTTTAAAGATATAAGCAGAGGGTTTTGCAGTGAGTGATCACAGGAGACAGGCTTTGTGAGAGACAGCTTGGATTTGGGTCTTTGTAGACTCACAGGAAATGGCTAGGTACTGCAGGATGTAGGATACGGTTTCTATCCTCAGAGCACTTACAGTGAGGTAGGGGGAAAGATGACTGAATCACTACCACATACACGTGAAGGTTTAAAGATATAAGCAGAGGGTTTTGCAGTGAGTGATCACAGGAGACAGGCTTTGTGAGAGACAGCTTGGATTTGGGTTTCATTCCCACAAAGTGAGTTTCATTCCCACAAAGATGGGGACAGGGTCTGAGCATTCCAGGCCAGGGAGGGCACGCAGAGGCAGAGGCGTGCGGTGAGCTGGAAGCCCCGGCCCCAGGGGAATGGAGTGCAGGCTGTGTAAGTGCAGAGATGAGAGTGGCTGGGGAGGCCCCTGCAGCGGCAATGCTTTACTCCTCATCTACGAGGAAACTGTTCACACTGGAACGGAAAGGGAGATGGGAGCCCAGGCGGGAAGCAATGTGGAGGCCTGTGACACTATGAACCCAGCAGGAGGCTCTCAGTCGCCCCATGAGCCACAGCGAGGCCCCGTGCACGGGGAGGTCTTCCTCAAGTAGGACACACTCACATGTTTCGATGGACTGGGCTGAACTCGAGCCTCAACAAGCAGCTGAGCAGAGTTAGACTTGTATCTACAAAACAGAAGGCAGAAGTGAAGGGAATCAGAAACTGAAGGCAAACATGTTTACCTCTGAATAAAAACCAACACGTGTTGCAGTTGCACTAAAATGTCTTTGTCTCTAATTACCACCTCACAGAACCAAGCTTCCTTTTGCCTTCGTGCAAATACTTTTTCAATTTTTTTTGAGCTCTCAATTGTATGAGAATAATAACCCTGCCTCCAAGGCACTGAACTGTAAGAAAAATACTCATGAAGGATCGTTTCTGGTTTAAATTCCGTTCTGGAAATAAAGGTAAAAATCTCTTTATTGACATCAGAATAGGGAAGGAGATCTTGAGACAAAGAAAATGCACAGCATAAAGGAAAACTGAAAAATTCTGTGACATTTAAGAACTTTGGTTCATCAGGAGGAACCATCAAGTAAAAAGCCGAGATATAAACTGGAAGATCATTCAATGCCTATCCTGGCAAAGGACTGATATTCAGAATAAAAAAACCGCCGAAACCGGTTTGGCTCAGTGGATAGAGCGTCGGCCTGCGGACTGAAAGGTCCCGGGTTCGATTCTGGACAAGGGCATGTACCTGGGTTGCGGGCACATCCCCAGTAGGAGATGTGCAGGAGGCAGCTGATCGATGTTTCTCTCTCATCGATGTTTCTAACTCTCTATCTCTCTCCCTTCCTCTCTGTAAAAAAATCAATAAAATATATTTAAAAAATAAATAAATAAAAAAATAAAAATAAAAATAAAAAAACCAAAAACTCCTGAAAGTCCACCTGTCCTCGGTGTCTTGGTAATGTGTCTCAATGAGCCTGGGCTTTGTGTAGCACTTTTATTGCCACATGATAATTGTTCTTATTTCTAAATGTAGTTATGCCAAACCTCATTCCAGATACAAGATACAAAAGACAAAATAACAATAAAAATGGGCAAAGAGAGAACAGGCATTTCACAGAAGAGGAAGCACAAATGACCATTAAACATAAGAAAAGATGCTCAACCTCCTTAACAATCAGGAAAATTGAAATTAAAACAATTAGATGCCATGTACACCCACCAGATTGTAAAACGTTAAACGTGGCAGTATCAGGAACTCCTCTATCACTGTGGGCATGTAACACGGTAGGATCACTTGGGAAACATAGTGGCATTGATTAGTAAAGTTTTAGAAACACACACCCAATAGACCAGTAACTCACTCCTGTTCTGAACCCTACAAAAATCATGTTATACTGGAAGTTACGGACAAGTTTTCAAAGCTGCATTACTTTTAACAGGAAAAAAACCCCAACCAAACACAGAAACAACCCTCACCAATGGTTTTCTGAAAGGATTCATAGGATGTCATAAAATGCAACCTTGTTTGTAATTTTAAAACTTAAAAACACTTACAGCGTGATTATATGTCTGTAGAGTTCTAAAAACATACTAAACTAAAATACACATAATTTAAGAAAAAATAAGAAAATGATCAATACCAAACTGAAGATTCGAGTGCCTGGAGTGGAAGGAAGGGGTGTGGCCAGGCAGGCATGGCCGCCGAGGCCTCCCTCCCAGTGAAGGCCAGAGGGTTTCTCACTTCGGTGAGCACTCAGAAGAGTATTTGCTTTATTCTCCTCTAATGCCTACACACAGCACATACGCATGTGCGTGCGCACACATTCACACACACAAATTTCCGAAAAAGCACTATTTTATCATAAAAATTTAATCCCTTCTGGAGTGAGGTATGGCATAAATACATTTAGAAATAAGAACAATCATCATGTGGCAATAAAAGTGCTACCCAAAGCCCAGGAAAACACATTACCAAGACACAGGAACCTGAGCAGGGAAGGTCATGTCTCAGACATGTGTGGTCCTTACCCACCTTCCCATTTTCACTCCTACTCCTCACGCTGGAATTGTTGCTGTCTTTAGCCACCCACCTCTCCATCCCAAATGACGCTCAGCAGTGTGGACAGTGAGAGGCCCATGGAACCCATGTGGTCCCGGAGTCGGGCAGTGACAGGGTGCAGACCTGGCAGCTCATCGGGCCTCTCGCTGAGCCTGCTCTGGCGTGAGCAGTGAGAGTGCAGTGAGTGAATGAGCGCTCGGCTGGTGTGGCCACCCAGCTGCCCAGCCTGAGGAAGGAAAGGCATGACCTTGCTCTGCATTTACAGGGGGTCGCACCGCGGGAGAACTGCTCGGGTGTGGAAGGGCAGGGCCTAAAGACACTTTATCTCTAGGACTCTGGATGCTGCTGCTGCTGATTGAAGGTAGAGCTGGGGGCATCTGCCAAACCCCCTACAATTCACAGAACAGCCTCCCCACAACGAAGAGTTATGTAGCCCAAATGTCAATAGTGCTGAGGATAGAGACCCTGAGCTAGACAGAAGCCCTGGCCTCTAAGGGGGTTGGGGGGTGTCTAGGAAATGTCTCCAGGGGACCAGGGGGGAGAAACCCCTCCTCCTCACAACTTCCAGTGTCTTGAGACTCCAAATCTGGAGGTGGGTGGTAAATTGACCAATTACCTTTGCTCAAGCTAATATGTGATATGCGATGGTGCATTCCTAACTTGATGTATCCAAAAGAAATAACCAGAGATGTTGGCAAGTGTTATCTAGAAGGGCACTGACTACAAATTAATTAACAAGGCACACAAAATCTGAACGTCATTGTCCAACAACAGGGGTTTGAACAAAGTATGAAACATCTGTATGATCAGATACTGTGCCAGCAAATTAACCAGAAAGATATATGGGAAAATGTTCAACATATATTGAGAGAAAAAATACATACAATATGATCCAGTGTTTTTAAAATATAAGGATATACTCCAAAATGCAAATAATACCACTGGGTGGGCGGGCAGAGAGAGCAGCTATGGGTGATGCCACCTCTCCTCCCCCGAACAGCTTACCTGTCCAATATCTCTGCAACTTGCCAGTGGAAATTAACTAATATAAGTTTAGCAACTGAATGAGACACCTAGAAAGAAGAAAGAAAAAGTCAAATGATGGCTGTCGTTTCGTTCCAAGAGCGCCACACTTTGAGAAGCGCACACATCCTGTCTACAGCAGGCACAGGCTGGATTTTAAATTCTTCTTCTTGGGGCTCTGCTTTGTCTTTTCAGTTCAGACTCTTATGATCCCAGTGATCTCCTGGATCTCTTTAATTTTTCTATCTTTGTTTTCATTAATGATCCTAAGAAATTAGTTTAAATTGCAACTTAAGCCAAACCACCCTGTATACAGTAAATAACTCTTCAGCATCCAATTTAAGCAAAACAGCGCTGGGCTCCCTAACATGATGCGTGTTCCCTCCAGCTGCGGTAGGAGGCCACACCTGGGAAGTGCACCTCTTGATACACCTGTTACCTGCAGAAAATCTCCAGGCTTGGAATTCTCGTATAAACCCAGCAAAACAAAACAAAACAAAACAAACGCAAAATGCCATTTGAAATCTCCAAGTGCCTGGCAGCCAGCGAGCCCGAATTGCAAAGACAATTTAGAAGTCTGTGGCAGGAGCCTGCACTCCTTTAACGCAGTGCTTGTGGCCACCACAGGGCCCCAGAAGGGGCTTTGAGCTAGCTCCTCTACTTCAGTGAATTTTTCTGAGGAAATGATAGGGTCTATGTGAACCCTAGTGTTTTTATAGGAGTAAAAAAATAAAAATGATCTAAATGCCTAACAAAAAGGAAATGTGTGACAGATTGACGCAATGGACTACTATGTAGTCATTGGAAAGGATGCTGCAGAAGTAAGTGTGTTGACATGGAAAGTTCACTTTTTCTTTTTATTGATTTCATCGAGGAAAGGAGAGAGAAATATCAATGATGAGAGAGAATCAGATAGGCTGCCTCCTGCACGCCCCCTACCTGGGATAGAGCCGGCAACCCCAATTGTGATCTCCCTGTTCATAGGTCAATGCTCAACCACAGAGCCACATCAACTGAGCAAGAAGTTCACATTTTAATATTATGCTAAAGAAGCCAGTAGTAAGAGAGCATGTATGTTATAATGTATGTTACAGCCACCATATCTTGTTATTTGGGGAAGTTATAAGCTAGTTATAAAACAGGCCACCTTGAGTGTCAGGACGGGGGAGGTGGGGGGCACAGAAGGTGAAGATGTGTCTGGATGCCTGGGGCAGGCTTTCTAGAGAGAACACTGCACAGCATGGCCGTCTACTGGATCCAGGAGGGAGGAGGAGCACACTCGGGCTAAGGAGCCAGGAGGACACTGGCCTCTAAGGGTGGGGTCTAGGAAATGTCTCCAGGGGACCAGGGGGTTGAAACCCCTCCTCCTCACAACTTCCAGTGTCTTGAGACACTGGCGTTCCGCTCCCTGGACGGTTGAAAAGAGGATCCGAGGATCTGTAAGGCAGAGCTCAAGCCACTCCTGGAAGAAGACAGGTGCACCCGACCCACAGTGGCACGTTCCAGTGCGAAATCCGTGGCAAAGGCTGTGCAGCGAGGGACGGCCTGCCCGTCCTAAAGCCCAGGCACGTCTGGAGAAAACCAAGGACTCAGGGCAGCTTGCTTCACGAAGGGGAGGGGACCTCACCTCCCTCCCACGCAAGACAAGAGGCCTCGGACCCACGCATGCTGCTGTAGTATTTACTTGTTGAGGCCCATGGGGACTTTAGGTCTAGGACTCCTGAACTATAGTTGACTAGTGGACATCTCTTCGAACTGTGGCCATAACCAAACTATCCCTCCACAACAGACCACTATCACGAAATGAAAACACACAAAACATTTGGTTTAAACTTTAATGACTGTTTGAATGTAGCTTTTAGCTACAAAATTTGGTGGGGTTTTTTGTTTTTTGGTTAACCATCATCCGAGGATATTTTTCCATTGGTTTTTAGAGAGAATGGAAGAGAGGAGAGAGGGAGAGGGAGAGAGGGGGAGGGGGGGAGAGAGAGGGAGAGAGAGGGAGAGAGAGAGAGAGAGAGAGAGAGAGAGAAACATCAATGTGAGAGAGACACATCAATTGATGCCTCCTGCCCACGCCCCAACCAGGGCCGGGGATTGAGCCTACAATTGTGGTACATGCCCTTCAGATGGAATTGAACCCAGGACCCTTCAGTCTGCGAGCTGATGCTCTAGCCACTGAGCCAACTAGCTGGGCTACAGATCTTTTCTAAAAGCCAGAGAGTGATACTGTTCAGGACGAGGTCCTCGCTGGAACTCCTAAGGATCTTCCATTTCTTACCCAAGGGGCTCTGCTCTGTCAGTCTATACCACTGCTTTTAGTTCTGAATTCTAAACGTCTGGCCATGCCATGGCTACTGGGTCCTGTAAAAGGCAATGAACTACGCAGGAAGCCAAGAGGATTCCTGGCCATGTCTGGCAGCCACCTCCCCTTTAGGTGCAGCCTTTAAGGTGAGAGCCGGGGTCGGCTGCCTCACGGATCCACAGAACCGGAACTGGTCTGGTCAGTGTGGCCACTCAATACTTCCTGATCACTCAGTTACATCATATCTTTAATCTATGTATTTTCAAAATGTCATTTCCTGACCTTCCTGAAGAAACGGAATTTTAACTATACTTAGATGAGCCCTTGACCTCAACAGCACTAACAGCAGCAGAGCCTCAGAATCCACACCACGTGCAGCCCAGCTCTGGGAAACAAGGCGGCCCCGCTGACAGGGATGGCGGGAAGCCCATTAATGACGGACTCAGAGGACCTCAGAGCCGAATTCTGGTTGCGATCAGGTCATGTGACGAAAGGATGCATCTAGCACTGGATAAAACTGACAGTGGAGTGATGTGAATCTATTCTTCCAGTGCCAACAGCCAAAGAATACACCCATATAAGCAAGATAGTAGGCGCACACGCGTCCATACTTCCCACCAGCCACTCCTGTGGTTCATACATCATAGGTGGGTGTGTGGGAACGACTCACTGTAATGTCCACTGTATATCACAGAAACCTGAAGGAATTCTGAGACTGTTACTTTAAGCAAAATGCAGTGTGACTGTACCTTGCCCAGGAATAAACACCAGAGAAGTCAGCTCCCAAAAGACTCTGAGCACAAGCAGCCCAGGCAGGAGGAGAGGCACCTAGAATATTTACGCTAAGGCAGTCTCTGCAGCGAAGCTGCCCCTCCCTGAGTTGGGTCACAAGAGAGAGAGCTGACTACACAGCCACGAGTTCCAGGGGCAGTGACTTCAGGTGTAACATGGGGGCAGAAGGGAGGGTAGTTAAGTCATCTTCAGCAGGTGGGCCAGGACAAACACTGTGATTGACATTTAAACCTTAAAGATAAAAATCTGTCTTTTTCAGAAGTCCTGAGCATTCATCCCATTAGCAGTGGTTCTCAACCTTCTGGCCCTTTAAATACAGCTCCTCATGTTGTGATCCAACCATAAAATTATATTCATTGCTACTTTATAACTGTAATGTTGCTACTGTTATGAATCGTAATGTAAATATCTGATATGCAGGATGGTCTTAGGTGACCCCCAAAGGGGTCGCGACCCACAGGTTGAGAACCGCTGCCTTACTGTGAATCTCTGAGTCAACAGCTGGCGGAGGCTTCCACCTCCTGTTGTGTGTTTCATTGTGGAAACAAAGAATCCGTCAGCCAGATCAAGATGAACTCTTGCTGATCTGTTTTGATCAAAAAACTAACCACTGTTAGTAGTCAGGGTTATATACAGTGACCCTTGAACTACACGGGTTTGAGCTGCACGGGTCCACTTACATACGGGGTTTTCAATCGACCTGTCCAGTTCAAACCAGTGTAGTTACACTGATTTGTGACTGTGCCCCTAACCCCTTGTACAAGGGTCAACTGTATCATCTAGGACTTACAATGAGAAGGTCAAACCTTTCCAAAAAAGAAAACGGGCCCACGATAGTAACTCAAAGCCAAAACGACGAATGACTTAGGAAGGAATACAGATGACCATGTCATATTCAAGCTAAATGTGCAGTTCTATTAGATCAACATGTAATAAGATTACAAGTCTTATCTGAGTTCTTGTTCTACTCCTGGAGACACTAATTGAAGAAAAGACAGAAACGAAGCACTAGGAAGTTTCTTATATAAAAATGTGTCCTCCCAAGGTATTTACTCACAGGTTAATCCCAGCCCTTTTAACACAAAGAGATAGAATAGAGTCCACCATTCTCTCCATCTCCGAGACCAAAGGGGGTCCCTTTTCTCAATGGGATTGGGACCCCCTGGAATCTCACTGCAAACCCTAATCTGGTGAGACCTGTCTTTGACAGCCACTTTGAACTTTAGTACACTTATAATAAATTTATTTTTTTAAATATATTTTTATTGATTTTTTACAGAGAGGAAGGGAGAGGGATAGAGAGTTAGAAACATCGATCAACTGCCTCCTGCACACCCCCCACTGGGGATGTGCCCGCAACCAAGGTACATGCCCTTGACCGGAATCGAACCTGGGACCCTTCAGTCCGCAGGCCGACACTCTATCCACTGAGCCAAACTGGTTAGGGCTATAATAAATTTAAAACAAAGACAATCTATACCCCCCCCCCAAAAAAAAATGTTAAACTACATACAAGAAGCAACCAATGAAAGCATAAAGTGGAATAACAAATCAATGTTTCTCTCTCTTAAATAAATCAATACATTGTACTTAAAAAGTGAAAATTTGACAGTCTAAAAGTTGATTATTTAAAAAGTTCAACAAAGTTGATACAAACTTTAGTTAGAACTTAAGAATACAAGTTACCAAAACAGGGATGAAAGAGGGATTACCCTAAACATCTTACAGATATTACAAGAAAAATAAGGTAATATTTTGAATAATCTAATTATAATAAATTTGGTATCTTAGATGATACTGACAAATTCCCTGAAAAATACTTATCAAAACTGACACGAAATTAAAAAGAAAAACTGAACAGCTCTGTGTCTATGAAAGACATTGAATTCATGATAAAAAAAAATGTTTCTCAGAAAATTCCAGGCCCAGAAGTTTTTACTAGTGAAATCTATC